AAAAATATCCTGCGCAGTTCTTACACGACTATTACTTATGTATTATGTGGTATTACCTACCTGCATTTGCAATGAAATGTGTATCTTTTCCCAGGTGATGTGCATGCGCACATATTTTCTTAGTTACTTGTATTTTAATTGGTTAAAAGATTAAAAAAAACAGTCTGGATGCAGAGGCTAGAAGAAAAATCTTCTGCCCCCATTGGGGATTAAGTGTATTTTAATTAACATGTAATTTTATGTTCATTTTATTGGTTTTGGAAATGTTCTTGAATGTTTTCAAAACATCACACAGATAAGGAATAGCATCCATATTTCCGTGCATTCAATAAATTCTGAAGTCTGAACAAACATCAGACCATACTTATTACTAGGGTTCGGATGTTCATGACCTAAAAAACCGAGAAATATGCCCCCCAAAAAGGCAAAATATGACCTAATTTGTTATGAAAAAATATTCTCCAAAATTTAAAAAAAGCGTTTTGTATTTCAGTCATGTTATTTATTTACATATGCATGTACAAATATTACATTACTTGATTTCCTAGCAGTTTTAATCAGAAACCTCAGTCGCTTTAAGTTGTAAATGCCTCGTTTTGGATCAGCATCAGACGAGTATACGTGCTCCTATAAAAATAAGAAAATATTTTAAGTAATGGCCTTTCATGCATTTCAAATTCATTAATTACAAATAAATAAATAAAATTTAAAATCTCTTTTCTTGGCAGCATTACAATATATTTATTTATTTATGTCAAATGGCAGGTACATAGAATTTCATCTTTGACCCTTTTTTAACTTGAGAAGCTCCTTTCGACATCACAAATGTTTCATGCATTATCGAAAAGTACAGCGATAGAGGAGTGGTTTACTGTATCGAGGAGGAGTAAGTCACCAGGGCCGTATCACAACGTTGTTGCACATTAAATCGCTTACCAGCTGTAACTTTAACTTCACAAAGTTTACGAAACAGAATTGTTCCATCAGAACTAAAATATTCCTCACTGAAATCTTAATGAAACCTCTTAACTTCGCACTTTCGGCTTCTTAACTAACTGAAGGATTCACTGTTAAGTGTCTGAGAAATGTAGTTTCAAGTAAGAATTTTATCCTTAAAATATGCATTTAACTACAAATATGACCAAAAACATAAAAATGACCTAAATATGCAACATAAACACAGTCTAATTGTGATTAGTGTTTAATTTCAGTCTAAAATGAAAGTAGAAGCCTCAATAAAAATGTGGCATGTCACGAACATCCTAACCCTACTTATTACCATGATAAATCATTCAGTACAGCCAAAATCAACATCAAGTTTTACATAATGGGGAGTGTCCATATTCCAGCAATGGGTGTTATAAATAGTTCAGTAAGCAGAAGAACTTGAAGCAGTGATACATGCATAATGGAGAGCGTCCATATTCATAAGTATTAAATATATCTCATGAATATGGACGCCCCCTAATATGAAATGCCTTATGTATCTGTAAGACCAAGAGAAAAGTATGTGAGTTGTGACAAATTTCATATGCACAGAATTCATTTATATATTTTTCCAGCATAGCAAAAATCTCCAGGATTTGACTCCTCTGTCGTAGAAACGTTGTAACATCCTTTATTGTTGGCATCACATCTTTCTGACTTGTCGTTTCCCTATAGCGTATGGTAACTTGATCCAACTTTGATGTTAATAAATGCACAATGAGTGTGTCCCAATGCTCTTTAGGTTGTCCAAGTGCCTTGAGTGCTCTTAAATGCTTTAAAGTGTCATCTAGCAGCAAGACTTCTGACACGAGTCTGTGCAACAACTCTCTTGTTTTCGAACCTCTCAATTAACATTTGCCAGGCGATGGGATAATTTAAAGTTGTTACTTATAGTGAGTGAACTACCCTTTCTGACTATCCCTTCAGAGTTGCCTTTAAGTAATGAAATTTCCGAATGTCTGATAACGACCTGTTAATATGAATTAAAGATGTGAATATGTCCTTGAATGGCAACCATTCATCATAGTCCCCACTGAAGGATGGCAATTCAACCTTCGGCAGTTTAACTTCTGAACACAGATTCCGATTTATCGGTGAATTGTTTAATGACGTCCGTGCCCTCGTATGTTTGAATTAATTACTGTGCTTCCGCCATAGCTTCAAAATATGCTTCCTCAAATTGTTGCCAGTCATTTGCATGTACTTCGCCATCATCATACATTTCTATTTCTGTTTGAATTGCCTCATAGTCTGTGTAACACTCCTCAGTCTTGGAATGCCGTAACTTGAGCTGCTGTACTCCAATCTCAGCACTGAACGTGCATAAGAATGTACTAAACCTAGTCAAACGCGCCCTGACTAGGCCCCGTTTCTTTATTAATGTTGCTAAAGTAGAATCCTGTGACATAATTCACCTCCTTAGATGCTGTTGCTCGATGTCTGTTATATCCGAAATCCCACGTCTTGTACTTAGTAATACGACATAACATAAAACATGTACCTGGACCAGTAATGTCGTTGCTTGATCGTGCTTGGAATGCAACTTCCAATATCTATTACTTGTAAGCTGTAGACGTATAAGTATACTTGTTGAAACCGAAACTTTCGTGTTTAGATCCTGACCGGAGGACCAAAATGTTCCTTGTATGGGACTATTACTTTATTAAAACAAACTTCAAACTCGTACAGAACTTGCAGAGACCTTTCCTCGACGGAGTGACTAGTGATGAGCGATAAACAGTGACCTGTGATTTTGTCACTGTGATCAGAAAATCACGATCACTGCAGTGATTAAAGGGCTCACTAAACAGTGATCACAGTGATTCTTAATTTCTTATGCATCCTAGCGAAAACACGGTACACTATTTTGACAGCTCAGAGCAGTTCAGAGTCAGATCACAGTGATTATCAGTAATTTCTTATGCATCCTAGTGAGAAAACGGGACACTACAGTATTTTGACAGCTCAGTTCTACTGTCTGTAAATATTAAATAAACAATTTCTATACATTTTGTTTAATTTAAAACAGGGATGCTGATTACCGAGTGGTTTCTGGTGCCTTAAAATGTATTTATGCTAATGTATTTCCTTGTGTTCAGTTCCCAAAATGGCTGATTGCTTGCAACATACAATATTGTATAGGAAATGTTATATTTTGAAAAGAACAGTAGTTTAAATAAAGTTAGGCATACACCTAACCTAACTGTAAACTTTCATTTTAGATATAAAGTATTAAATACAATATTATTGTAACCAAGTAATTTTATTTTAATTTTTAAATAACCATTATTTCAAATACAACTTACACATTCTGAATTTTCGACATGTTAATTTCTGTAATTTTAACATCAGCTGTACTGTAATCACACGTAAACAGAGCAGCAACAGACAGCCAATCATATTCGCAGTAGCATCACTGTGTACCACCAGTCAACGTTGCCAATGCAGCGATGAGCTGAATCACAGCCGTGACAGAATGCTGAATGCATGCTCGGATCTCGATCACTGTTTCACTG